CTACATCTGCAGTTATCCCCTCCACTGCTCTTGAATCCCTCACAGGCATTCCTGAGGTTCAGAATCAAATTCTTCCAAACTTCTGTTAATGTTGATATTTTGATCTCTTTCCATGAATCATGAATGTTCTTAATGGCATCTATAATCCTGAATCTTTTCCAGAAGGTTTTCAATTTTACTTTGCTCAGATCCGTCAGAGGAATCACTATCTGTGGCAGCTAAAGCCTTACAAAAGGTATTTCTTAAATAAAGAGACTTGAAATCAAAATGTCTCCTTGATCCACGGGATGCAGAACGGATGTCATTTAGCAGGAATGAAAACAACATTAATGTCATTGTACGTCTTCATCAGAGTTCTTGGCTGACCAGGTGCATTGTCAATGAGCAATCATATTTTGAAAGGAATTTTTTCTTCTGAGCAGTAGGTCTCAACAACAGGCTTAAAATATTCAGTAAACCTTGTGGTAAATAGATGTGCTGTCATCCATGCTTTGTTTTTCCATTTATAGAGCACAGACAGAGTAGATTTAGTGTAATTCTTAAGGGCCCTAGGATTTTCATAATGGTAAATGAGCATTGGCTTCAATTTGAAGCCACCAGCTGTATTAGCCCCTAACAAGAGTCATCCTGCCTTTTGAAACTTTGAAGCCAGGCACTTACTTCTCCTTTCTAGCTATGAAAGTTTTAGATGGCATTTTCCAATATAAGATTGTTTTGCCCTCATTGAAAATCTGTTGCTTAGTATAGCCACTTCCTGAATTATCTTAGCCAATCTTCTGGGTAACTTGCTGCAGCTTCTACATCAGCACTTGTGGCTTCACCTTGCACTTTTATCTTAGGGAGGCAGCTTTTTTTCCTTAAATCGCATGAACCAACCTCTGCTACCTTGCAGCTTTTCTTCTGCAACCTCTTTACCTCTCTCAGCCTTCACAGAATTGAAGAGAGATAGAACCTTGCTCTGGATTAGGCTTTGGCTTAAGGGAATGTTATGGCTGGTTTGATCTTCTATCCAGACCAGTCACTCAGACTTTCTCCATATTAGCAATAAGATTGTTCTGCTTTCCTATCACTCATGTGTTCACTGGAGTAGCACTTTTAATGTCCTTCAAGAGCTTTTCCTTTGCAGTCACAACTTGGCTAATTGTTTGGCACAAGAATCCTAGCTGTCAGCCTATCTCAACTTGCTACATGTTTTCCACACTAAGCTTAATTATTTGTAGCTTTTGATTTGAAGTGAAACACATGGGACTCCGGCTCCCACATGAACACTTAGAAGCCATTGTAGGATTATTAACTGGCCTCATTTCGGTATTTTGTGTCTTAGGAAATAGAGAGGCTTGAGGAAAGGAAGAGAGATGGAACAATAGCTGGTCTGTGGAGCATTCAGAACACATAGTGTTTATCAATTTTGCTTGGGCATGGTCTGTGAAACCCCAAAACAACTATATAGTACATCAGTGATCACTGATCACAGATCACCATAGCAAATATAATAAGAATGAAAGAGTTTAAAACTTTGTGAGAGTTACCAAAATGTGACACGGAGTTACAAAGTGAATAAATGTTATTAGATAAGATAGTGTTGATAGATTTGCTCCATGCAGGGTTGCCACAAACCTTCAATTTTGACGAACAGCATTATCTTTGAAGTGCAATAAAATGAGGTACATCTGTATAGTATTTGGTGTTGATTGCTCAGCTCATCAAAACGATTGTTCCAATAGGTAGATTTCTTTCTTGTTTTCCCTTCTTTACTAGATTGAGTTTGTTTTGATCAGATTCTGTTCTCACTCTTCCTAATTAGAATTTTGAAGGACCAAGTCTTATCATCTCATTATATTGCCCAGTGTCTAGCACAGAGTTGATGCTTTGTCATCCATTGTTCCGTATATATACGTTCATCAAATTTGAATATATTTATGTGCAGTAAACACTCAAGAAATAGAAATTTTCTATCTCTTATGAGCTAGGCACCATGCTAGAGATAGAATAGTGCATATGGTTGTATGCCATACTTACAATCTAATGAGAGACAATGACATATCAGTGTGATAAACCCTGCCCATGTGTAAGCACAGAGTGCTGTGGGATCACCTGTTTTGGTAAAAAGCTGAAGATTTCCAGGAAAGGTGCTATTTAAGCTGAGACCTCAGGGAAGAGGTAAACAGGGGGAAAAGGTTGAGGAACTGGTAGAAAAGGAAAGGCATTTCTAGAGGAAAGAAAGAAAGAAGAAAGAAAGAAAGGAAGGAAGGAAGGAAGGAAGGAAGGAAGGAAGGAAGGAAGGAAGGAAGGAAGGAAGAAAAAGGAAGGAAGGAAGGAAGGAAGAAGAAAGAAAAAGGAAGGAAGGAAGGAAGAAGAAAGAAGAAGGAAGGAAGATAAAGACATTCTGGATCTGTAGTTTGTTCAGTCTGAAGTATTGTTGGAGGGTTTAGTTAGGGGACGGGGAGAGAAGGGATGAAAGAGAAATGTTCAATCGACATTGAAGGAATTAGTTTAGGAAGCAATATATCACACAATGCATTTCATTAAGAATTTCTAAGATGATTCATTCAGAGTATAAATTTTAGACCATTTTATTTTAGAAGAATATTTTGTGTAATTAAAAAATTAAAATGCATTTTAACCTGATGATATTGGACATCTCATATTCATAGATAAATATGCATATGTATTTTATGCCCACCTCATTGAGATTCTATGGTCTGTACAATACTTATCACGAGGGACATTTCCCTCATGATAAATGGGCTTCATTAGTAGTGGTTTGAGGCATTATTATTTACTCATCTATAAAGGTTATTAAGATTCTATTAATTTATTTTCCAGGAACTATTATTTTAAATTCCAAATGCTTTGTGCTGTTAGCTTTTATTTTTTATTAAATTTTTTTTTAGTGTTTGTTTATTTTTTTAGAGAGAGAGATAGAGTGTGAGTCGGGTAGAGAGAGGGAGATAGAATCTGAAGCAGGCTCCTGGCTCCAAGCTGTCAGCACAGAGCCTGACGCTGGGCTTGAAGCCACAAGCTGTGAGATCATGACCTGAGCAGAAGTAGGCCACCCAACCGACTGAGCCACCCAGGCGCCCCTCTGCTGTTAGCTTTTAAATGAATAAGGTGAGAATCAATTCTACTTAATTTGATCAGTTTATAAATTTGGGGGGCAATTGGCTTGAATAAGATAATTGCATGAAGATGCATATCTTAAACCCAGCTTTTAAGTCTCAGTATTTTGGAAGATCTGTTGCATTCCTTCATTGGCCACCAGGTTCTCTTAGTCTCTAGGAACCTAACTTCAAAACTGATACAGCATTTTCTGTGGACAGGGCTTAGAAGGATCAATGAATTAAATATTGTTTATAATATTCCAAAGAATAATGTATTATTTATAAATCTTCGAAGTTAATATTGTTATCTCATGTCCAGTACTTTTGTTTTTGTTTTTGTTTTTGTTTTGGTCGTTTCAGAGAAGGAATCCTAAATAGGCATTTAGAATTTTAAAAAAAATCTTTGTACATTATTTTATCTATTAATGGGTAAAGTTCATCTGTAATATAATGATTATGATGCAAACTACTTTGTGCCACAGTACACTCTTTTCACTTTTGTACTTCATAAATCAATTTTTTAAAATGTTTTTGAATACAAAAGGATGCCCTATGTGGATAGCCACAAGAAAGGGGAATTCTCATTTGCATTTCTGTCCTAACTCTTCATCACAAATAATGCTGATGTCGCAGATTGTATCTGTGCTATATACAAGTGGAAATTAAGGCAAGCCTAAATTCATATAATTTTCATTTTGTGGCCTATTCGAAAACTAATAAAACAAGCCATTTTTCTTGCCCCGTGGATTTGAGAGGAAAATAGAGAAATTAATGAAGGGACTGATCGAGATTAGAAAGTAGGAACAGAGTAAGTTTTCTCCGTGGTTCCGTCTTTTCCTCCATAAACATTCATTAAGCATTTACTATGAATCAAATATTGAAAAGCTGGAAGAAGAAACGTCCCGTTACATACACTCCTTTATTAGTTTTGTGACTTGAAATCAGATATTAAAGATTCTTCAGTTATATATAGCGCACGCAGTTAGATATCCAATCATGACGATTGTAATAGAGGTTTGGGCATTTCGCCCTTCAGTTCAAAAACTAAGGTAAAAGCCCCTCAAAAGATTCACAGCCACGTAGTCTGCACTCACTGCTTGCACACCAACATTTGTAGTAATTTCAGATTAGAAGCCTCTCAGTTTTGCTGTAATACAAACCTTCCCGCCCTCCCCCTGACGCTCACGCCTCCCCCCTCCACTTTCCACCTTAATGGAGTAAAAAACAAACACCCCCTCAAATAAAAAAATACCCCCCCACACACTAGTTTTACTGGGAGAACAGGGGCGCGGACGGTAAGGAAGGAAGGTGGAGAAGAAGGAAGAGAAGGAGGGAGGGACGGACGGACGGACGGACGGAATGAAAGGAATGAAGGAGAGAGATGCCGTCCTTTCCGCCGGTTGCCAACTAGCCTCTCCTCCCAGCTCGGCCCCCGCCCCGCCCCCTAGCGTCGGAGCCCGGCAGCCAGCGGCTGGCGCCTATCTCTTTAAATGACAGCTGTGGCTCGGGTCCCAGTCCGGAGCCTGACGTCAGTGCCGCCTCCCGGGCTGCGAGGAGTAGTTAGCGCCGCCGTCCGCGCCCCGGGCTCGCCGCGCGCTCGCAGGCTGCTAGGGCGGCGAGTTTTCTTTGCTCCGGCCCCTCCTCCAGCCCTCCCCGCGCGGAGCGAGCGGCAGCCTAAGCGCCTCTCGCAAGTCTCCCTCACACTTCCCCGCCGTCACCCCAAACGAGCAGCCGCTCCTCCTCGCGCCTCCACCGCCGCCGCGCGCTTCGCTCCCCCGATGGAGCCCGGGCGCCGCCGCCGCTGCCCCGAGCCCTGAACGGGGACGCCCCGGCCGAAGGACCGTGCCGCCCGGCCCGAGGGCGCACCAGGCGCTCGCCGAGGCCGAGGGCTGCCGCGGGTGCACGGCGCGGGCTTCGGGAAGGAGAAAGTGCTGCTCTCCCGTGTCCCTTGGCCGGCGGCGGGGGGGGGGGGACCATGGCTTTGAAGGACACGGGCAGCGGAGGCGGCACCATCCTGCCCATTAGCGAGATGGTCTCCTCGTCCAGCTCGCCCGGCGCGCCTGCGGCCGCCGCCCCGGGGCCCTGCGTGCCCTCGCCCTTCCCCGAGGTGGTGGAGCTGAACGTGGGGGGCCAGGTCTATGTGACCAAGCACTCGACGCTGCTCAGCGTCCCGGACAGCACTCTGGCCAGTATGTTCTCGCCCTCCAGCCCCCGGGGCGGCGCCCGACGCCGCGGAGAGCTGCCCAGGGACAGCCGGGCGCGCTTCTTCATCGACCGGGACGGCTTCCTCTTCAGGTACGTGCTGGACTATCTGCGGGACAAGCAGCTCGCGCTGCCCGAGCACTTCCCGGAGAAGGAGCGGCTCCTGCGCGAGGCCGAGTACTTCCAGCTCACCGACCTGGTCAAGCTGCTGTCGCCCAAGGTCACCAAGCAGAACTCACTCAACGACGAGGGCTGCCAGAGCGACCTGGAGGACAACGTGTCCCAGGGCAGCAGCGACGCGCTGTTGCTGCGTGGGGCAGCGGCCGCCGCGCCCTCGGGCCCCGCAGCGCACGGCGGCGGCGGCGGCGGCGGCGCGCCCGACAAGCGCTCCGGCTTCCTGACGCTCGGCTACCGGGGCTCCTACACCACGGTGCGCGACAACCAGGCGGACGCCAAGTTCCGGCGTGTGGCGCGCATCATGGTGTGCGGGCGCATCGCGCTGGCCAAGGAGGTCTTCGGGGACACGCTCAACGAGAGCCGCGACCCAGACCGGCCGCCCGAGAAGTACACGTCCCGCTTCTACCTCAAGTTCACCTACTTGGAGCAGGCGTTCGATCGCCTGTCCGAGGCTGGCTTCCACATGGTGGCGTGTAACTCCTCGGGCACCGCCGCCTTCGTCAACCAGTACCGCGACGACAAGATCTGGAGCAGCTACACCGAGTACATCTTCTTCCGTAAGTCCGCGGGGTCCGCGCTTCCGCCTCCTCCCGCCCCTTCGCGGCGCCGCGGAGGGTTTGATCCCGGCTGGAACCCGCCCGGGACGGGCGTCCCCGGCGAGTGCGGAGGGCTTTCCCTGGGAGGCTCCGTCACGCCGCAGGCACAGTTGACAGTCCCGTCCCTCACGCCCGTCTCCGCCAACTCCGGAACACGCAGTTCCCGAGCATTCCTTTTTGTTAACTTTGCCGATTGTGCCCTCTCCGCGCGCCCTGCTCCCTTGTGCGGAGGCGGGGACGAGACACGGATCACGACGCTGTGCGCCGGGGTCCTCCACCCTTCTCTCCTCTTGCGCGGAATTCCGGGGGGTTAACTTCCGTGGGTCTCGGCGGGATCCCTCCAGAGGGCAGCTCGGCGTCGAGGCCTTAGCGCGCACAGCCAGAAGCTCCTCCCGCTGGACCCTTTCTGCTTACACTTACGGTGTTTGGGGAAGGGGCCACGCGAGCAGCGGCGACTGTGTCTACCGAGCTTCTCAGGGGGCCAGGGCGTGAGAGCAGCTGGTGGGAAAGGGTCCCCCCACTCTTAGAAACCAATCTCAGATTTCTCCCGCCAGTGGTCAGGAACCGCTGGTCTCCAACAGCGCAGGGTGGAAGCAACGAGAGTTTGGACGTCAGCTGCTGGCAGGGTTGGAGCTTACTTAGGAAGGGTCTTGGTGTGTGCGCGCGCGTGTGAGTATGTGCTTGTGTTTCTTTTCTGGGCGCCTCACGTGCAAAAGGATTGAATCCACTTTCCCAGGGGGAATAAAATGCAATTCTCTTTCTGATCGGAGAATGGAGGCGAGGACTTGGAAAGCATTTGGCGTGGTGCTTTTTGTAGCGCGCTTCGGGAGGGCGCTCTGTGGATCAAGTTCAAGGACTGCACCAAATATCCCTGGGGCTGGGGGGATGAGACCGGCAGAGTAATCAGTGACGCTTATAGAGTGAAGAGGGTCACAAGTAGAGAGCTATTGGGACAAATGAAAAGCCAGCTGGGATGGCAGCAGGAACATCATTTGGCAGACGTTCTTTTCTTTGGGAAGACACAAGAAGCTTTAAAACCTGCCTGTAGAGTCCAGGAGAGTATCTTTGACAGCCTGTGATAGAACTAGCCCGGCTTTAATCTTTTTTTTTTTTTTTTTTTTTTTTAAATTCGCTCACAGTTTGGGAACTAGACCATCTATTGTACTTTATTTTGACTAGAAAAGCGGAAAGGACTTTTATCCCCCTCCCCCCAAGTGCAAGGTTGAATGGAACATGCTCATTGTGTATGTATTCTACTAACCTTGGAAATAGGGTGACAAAACCCAGCACACTAGGCCTTAGTGTTACATGGTCGTTTTTAATAGTGCTGGATTTCCTGTGAAAATCATTTCATACAGAAGCAAAGAAAATGCCCTTGAAGTAGTAGATAACAATCTAATTGGCTTAATTATATCACAGTGTTACTTGTTACACAGCAAAAAGTTTTATAGAAAAGCCACCCAAAGGAAGGTACTATGTTATTGCCTGTACAAAATTGGGATCTCTTTAATATAAAGTAATTAAAACATTATTTAGCATCACTGTTTACAGTTTATCCTTTATCAATGAGACCTTTACTACCATTTTAGCTCTTAAACATTTATGTCATTCCAATGTGGATATATTTCCAAGCATTTTAGAAGATGAGGTGAACTTTTGACTCCCTTCGGATTAGTGGGGTTTTTAAATTTTTTTTTTAATGTTTTATTTATTTCTAGGAGAGAGAGAGAGAGACAGTGCGAGCAGGGGAGGGTCAGAGAGAGAGGGAGACACAGAATCTGAAACAGGCTCCAGGCTCTGAGCTAGCTGTCAGCACAGAGCCCGACACGAGGCTCGAACCCACGAACCCGAGATTATGACCTGAGTTGAAGTCGGACGCTTAACCGATTAAGCCACCCAGGCGCCCCTAGTGGTTTTTATTAGAGAAGGTACAAGCATACGTGTTCAGTAGTTTAGATTCTTGCATTTTGAAATCTTTCACAGTGTTGGTATTTTTCTCCGAGAGTTGTGGACTTGAACGTGTCCATTATTTTATGAAGAGAATATAGTTGTCTCTCAGTTATGAAAACATTCCCTTAAAATAGCTTATTGCAGTTGGAAACTCATACAATTTAACTAGTAAGGTAATTTGAGAGATATTTTGAATTTGGGATTTTCACTTCTGAAGCCAGAAAGAGCATTAAACAAAATAAAATATCCATATTAATAATAGCTATTTGCAGAGTCTTTATACTAGCTCTGAGATTCATTCATAAAAGTCCTAGAAATCTAAGTAACCCACAGTCTTCTTCACTGATTATTCTGTGGGGGAAAATACACAATCCAGGTTAAATATTGTTTTTCTGAAGTGGTATTCTAGTCACTGACCAAGCACATGTAATATAAAACAAACCAATTTGCCATGTAAAATACTGTATATGCATTTACTGTATGTTGGTATAGATTGCAGTTTATTTTCACAAGTTCTTTTGCACAGGATTTCTTTTAATATTGGTGAATGAAAATACACTGTAAAATTTTTATGTTTCCATTTCCTTCAGTTTAGGTAATGATATAGATATACAGAGTACAATTATTTTGTCTAGCAGTGTCTCTACTTAAAGAGACTAACAGTGTTATTCATAAAAACAAAATTATTGGATGCACTTGTTTGCCCACTATGTATAAGTGGCAAAAGAGGGTCTTTTATCTATTATTTCCCCCTTGATGCAGTTTTATCAGCAAATATTTATTTTAGTGTATCAGTCATTTTAACACCTTTAAAATTCAGGCTATGTGTGAAATTAAGAGTATGAAAATGATCTGAAACTGTAGAATTGTAGTTTATACACTGGAACGTCAGTTTCAACTCCTCCCTCCCTCTCCCCACTTGCCCCTGAGTTTCTATACAGACAGAAAGAGAGTGGCAAATGGTTTGGTAATCCCAGACACTGCCATTTGCCAAATGTGTGATCTTGGTTAAATTATTTACTTCTTTGAGTCTCCATTCCCCTGTGTCATGAGGGTTATTGTAGTACCATTTTATAGGATTTGAGAATACATGTAAAGTGCTTAGACCAGTGCTTGACACATAATAAAAGCTGAACAAATATTAGTGGTTACAGTTATAAGCCATATTATACAGACTTTATGATTCTTGCCAATATTAAACTTTAATTTTGTTTTATAGTAAGTATGGTTGAATTAATGATAAAGTAAATTAGAAAAGTATTTTGCAATTAAATGATAGTATAATAAACTTTTAAAAGTTTGGCACGACCAGTTTGATAGCAAGTTCTTTCCTGGAACTGGGACTTTTTAGGCCAGGTTCAAGTAACCTAGGTTTGCCAGTCATATTACAGTTAGTTTTTTTGGATCAACTCCAACAGAACCCTTTTCTGATTCAGAGCCAAGAAGTGTTTTAATGCTTTCCACTAGGACTTGAAAGTTTGGTAATATTTTCTGACAAACACTGAGCTGGATTCATTATCTCCTTAAGTGCTTGTATCCAAGCCATTGGGTTCTAATGCTCAAGGTTATATACAGGCTATTAAACATTTAATACCAACCTCATTTGGCCACATGGACACTTTTATCTGTTTTCAGTATTAACTCATTATTTTACCAAGTCTTTTAGATTCTGGAACCAAAACTAGAGATGCTACATTGCATATTACTCTTCTAATACTGAAGATTGTCCTTTTATTTTTTTAATTTTAATGTTTATTTCTGAGGGAGAGGCAGAGAGAGAGAGGAAGACACAGAATCTGAAGCAGGCTCCAGTCTCTGAGCTATCAGCACAGAGCCCGATGCTGGGCTCAAAATCACAGGACTACAAGATCATGACCTGAGCTAAGTCAGATGCTTAACCAACTGAGCCACCCAGGTGCCCTGCCCTTTATTTTTTTATTTTTATTTATTTTGAGAGAAAAAGAGAGAGAGTGCACAAGGGTGGGGTAGGGGCAGAAAGAGAGGAGAGGAATCCTAAGTAGGTTCTGTACTGTCAGCCCTGAGCCTGATGTGGGGCTTAGTCTGGTGAACTGTGAGATCACGACCTGAGCCGAAATCAAGAGTCAGAAAGTTAACTAACTGAGCCACATAGGTGCTCCATCCTTTCTTTTCTTCCTTTTTTTAAACTTTATTTATTTTTATTTTGTGAGAGAGAGAGAAAAAGAGAGAGAGTGAGAACAGTAGTAGGGCAGGAGTTGGGGGGTGGTGGAGAATCCCAAGCAGGCTCTACACAGACAGTACAGAGTCTGCTGTGGGGCTCCATCTCACAATCACATCTCACAATCGTGAGACCGTGACCTGAGCCGAAATCAACAGTTGGATACATCACCAACCAGCCACCTAGGTGCCCCTAAATATTGCCCTTTCTTGAAGGAAAGCAGAGTGATTTTTGTGCTTTTTGGGTGTTTTTGGGAGGGGGATGTCTGTTAAGTGTGCTTGTGGATGTTTTTAGTTATGTCTAGAAGACAAGGCATTTTATGTTGGCATTGTGTTATAGACAACAGGTAGTTATAGGCATGGAGTATGATACATAGAGTACCCATACTTAGAATAAACATTATATATATCCTTTATTTCACATAATCAGTGTGTTTACAGAATGGTAGTACTATGTTTCTCTTAAAGTGCTTCCAGTTTTGTATTCCATATGTTGATTGAGTAATATTTGGTGTGAAAGTATATACTTCTCTAGGATGCACTTGATATTCTTTAAGTTTAGTGTATTTTTGTTGTTTTGATCTATGAGAGTGCCAGATCCAGGAATTAATGCTATAACTGACGGACCTGTGAATTCTGATTTTTCTTAATGGATTTTTGTATCTATTCTTTCAAATCTATTTTGATTTATTTTACTGTGTTGGGTTGAAGATATCTAGTTGAGTTGAAAATATTCAAACGGCTCTTCAGTCGTATGTTAGCAGGCCTGTTGTAGTAAAAGTTTTCTAAGAAATATCTTTGAAAGGTTATTCTCTTTATAAGCATACCTTTACATTTTTATATTATTTTCTCATCTAAAAATGTTTCTACTTTTATTACAAATATTGTTGTATGGAAAACAATTTTGTTAATAACTTAAAAAGTTGATTATTTTCCTTCTAAATTTTTTTTTGTTTGTTTTATTTATTTCTGAGAGAGAGAGAGACAGCATGAACAGGGGAGGGTCAGAGAGAGAGGGAGACACAGAACCGGAAATAGACTCCAGGCTCTGAGCTAGCTGCCAGCACAGAGCTTGACGCGGGGCTCGAACCCACGAAGCGTGAGATCATGACCTGAGCCTAAGTTGGATGCTTAACCGACTGAGCCACCCAGGCACCCCACCTTCTAA